GTGCATTTTAATCAGGAAACGTTTTTAAGAATCGATTTACTTTTACAAATCGATCCTGCAGAAGAAGCAAAGTACGCCTGCCCTCCCCCCTCAAAAAATGTTGTAAGCTTTGAATGAATAAGAAATTTAGCCGTTCTGATTTACTAATCTTTCCCCCCTTAAACTTTAAGTGGGCAAGTATTGAATTCAGAGGTTACCGTGGTAAGATCCAACAGGGGATCTTACACTAAGCTAGCGCAATTAAAGAATTCCTATCAGCCGTATTTTATCTTTTACGGTCAGTTACTTCTGTTATTTGAAAGTGGAAAAGCACACGAGGCCTATCCGCTTAAGTGGAGAGACGACTTTCTAATAGAACATGGCTCGTATTCACGTTAGACTTTGAGACCACAACAAAAAACCAACCATGCTGCGAGCCTGCCAATCTGGGTTCAGAGCAAACGCAAGCTACCAGTAGTCAACACTCTTTAACCGTTCGGCCAGTGGTGGGACTATTTTTCACGGAGATTCACTACTATATGCAGAAATTCTGCCACTAAATAGCTTAACCAGATTCCAAAAGTTAGTCATTTACACAAGGTAGTATTTTAACTAACGAATATTGTAATGAATTTTGTACGTATATAAACAATTTTAATGAAATTATAAGCTAAATGTTTGCATTTTTTGTATAATTTAGCATGAAAATGTAAAGAAGCGAAGCTTGTCGGAAAAGTATGAAACACTGCGTAAATGGTTACAGCCGAAAACATCGCCGACGGAAACGTCGCAGAGAAAACAACGCAAGGCGAAAACTTCGTGCTACAAAACATCGTGGGAGAAAATATCGCAAAGAGAAAACATCGCAGTCCTAAAACATCGTGGTACAAAACATCGTCGTCGAAAATAAAGCGGTTCAAAAACTTCGCAGTTTAAAAACATCGTCATCGAAAATATCGGGGTAAAAAATAAAGTATCTACCAAATCATCACATGACGATAACATCGCAGACATGCTTTCCGCAGACATGCTTTGATAACTGTAAATGGGTATTCCCATAATGATTTGTGAGCGCAAGATGGAAAGAAGGATAATTTTTACTTCCATATTTTTTACTAACTAATAAATTTTTGCTGAGAAAATAAGAAGGAAACTTAAGCATAGAAAATTAATGCAACTTATAGCACTTAATAGAATTTTAAACCGACATAGTTAACTAACAAAGGCCATTAATAAATAATTTTTAAGTTTATAAAGTTTTACTGGTAATTTTTCATGAAAAAGTATAATCTATAGTTGCATTTAATTTCTATGCTTAAGTTTCCTTCTTACTTTTTCAGTAAAAATTATTAGTAATAAAAAAATGGAAAGTAAAAATTATCCTTCTTTACATCTTGCACTCACAAATCATAATGGGAATATCCATTTACGATTATTAAAACCTGAAAAAAGCATGTCTGCGATGTTATCGTCATGCGAGATTTGTAGATACTTATTTTTACCACGGATATTTCGACGACGATGTTTTGTACCACGATGTTTTAGAACTGCGATGTTTTCTCTTTGCAATGTTTTCTCCCACGATGTTTTGTAGCACGACGTTTTCGCCTTGCGTTGTTTTCTCCGCGACGTTTTCGTTCGTGATGTTTTTGCCTCGATGTTATCAGCAGGCACCGCGTAAATGGCTGTCTCGCTAATTCGGCGAGATATCTCCAAGCTGATAATGGGTTTAGCGACTACTTACTATCGTCAAATTTGCCAAGAAATCTTCAAAAGAGTTGAATTGAGTTTAACGTTCTTAGTAGATCTGTAACTGCTTATTGCAGTTTGTATTACTGTGAAGAGCTGATATAATGCTCTTCACAGTAATACAAAGTACTTTGTATTACTGTGAAGAGCTTAAATATGGTCAGTATACGCAATTTATTATTTAAAATAATTTATTTAATAATGATTTTACATGTTTTCCTAAGCATTCTCCGAGCTATTCTTAACATGGTACTTGATTCTTTTGTGTCCTCGAACCTAAATAAAATAATGTTTTATAAAAAAATTAATAAGAATTTAAAAATGGATCAAGCTTGAGATTTTAAAGAAGACATTTTTTACTGCAGCATTTTTAAAGGGAATAAAGGGGATTTGTTTAACGTATAATTTTAAAGATCTAAAAGAAATCTAAAAGAAAACAACTAGCCTTCATGGCAAATAAAATTTAATCATCTGACGCTAAAACTTCAATTAACACAGATGCGAAGTGAAGCAATAAAGAGTGATCGTAATGTAACTACCCTTATAATATGAGCCCCTAGCGACCGGACGGCTCAGAGAATTGAAATAAAATTCGAGGTAAACAGACTGCAAAGTATAGGCTCAAATGCTAAGAATGCGCCCAGCTACAGTTACGGTAAAAAGATTTCGAAAAATGTCGAATAGCAGCATTTACGATTTCGCACCACAGTGACCTGCGCAATGAAAGGAACCACAAACACACTTGAAATGCCACTTGGAACTCTAGACTACATCAGCGTGAGCAAACTAATAAAGAAATAAGACTAGCATGTAAACCATTTATGTAGCCAGCTCGTTTGCCTCGACCTCGAAGTCTGGCCGAACAACCAATATTCAGCAGAACTTAACTGCTCGGCTACTTGTACGGAGGCCACATGTAACTATATGCGGAGGAATGTGAAAGTTTTATCGAAACATCATGGTGAGACAATCAAGGACAATACAAATGCCGCTGAAGATTGCATCTTTCGAATGCAAATAATAGTTTATTCGAATTCTATTTGAGATTGGTATTCTGTTTAAGTGAAAACAGAGCACAAAACTGAAGAAGCTACGAGCACCACTTGTAATCGGTAATGATTTTAATGACCAACCCATGCTCTCAAACTCGTTCCATTAGTGAATAACGGGATGAATGAAGATTGAAATCTAGCTACATGGATAGCTTCTCAAGCTGTCGGTGTTCCAAACTCTATGTTTTCTAAAATGCTGTCCGGAAGTTACACATTATGTTTCACAATATTCACACTTTGGGGCTGAGGAAAATCAGCTTTTCACATATTAAGTCTTAACGAACGTATTCCTTAAGTGCTATATCTGTTATAATAGTTGGCCATAGAGCATACTGCTGGCTCATGAAGCACATTTAGGAATGGGAATTTGAAGAATTATGTGTCATAGTATACTTTCCCTTGATGGTGCCTCTGCCGATAGGGAAAGAGGGAGTATTTGTGCAATACCGCATCACAGCCGACGCCTTAGATCTTTGGCCATACTTCTTCTATGGGAATCTATGAAGTTTACAGCTGTATAATGTCACAGATGGATGCTATTGTAAAATGTTGACTTCATTCCATAGTTACAACAGTGATGGGCTATATTTGATGACGCCATCCTTCATGTTGATGCAAGATGGTGCTGTTCCATATATGGAAATATATGTTACATAAATACCTCCATCAAATTTTAGTTTTTGCTGGATTGTAGCGTTCCGACTACACACGTGTACATGTCTGGTTTAATTTAAAATCCAAGTACATATAAAAAATTCGAGGGGCATGTCTAATTTAAAAGAAGCCGTCCAGCACAAAATTAAGCGAAACTTTATTCAACGTCGCATGAGAGTGAGCGATGTTCACCGTCTTACGTGTGCAACGTCTCACGTGTGTTTAAATGTTAACGACAGTCAGATACAGGTTCCTCTCTTTCAGAAGCAGAAAACTTTTCATTTCTGAATGTCTTCCTGATACGTTTAGGGGCTAATGGTGAGGTCTCCCATAGCTTTAGACCCAGGCTCGATTCCCAAAGACGGCAGAGATCTTTTTAAGCGTATAGTATATTTACGTCATGGAGAGTATTTAAAGCCTTCGGGCCAAAACTTCCATTGAGAAGTTGTGGTGGGGAAAGAGAGTTCTTTGAAGAGAGTGGAAAATGGAGTGTTCTTCACTAAACCTGGAATGAAATTAGAGAAAATCGTATTGTCATTTCAAAGTACACAAGGCCTTGGCGAACGACAGACGATATTCTTTCCACTAATATAATTTATGGATAGGATTTGAAACTTATCCAAGATAAGTGCAGTTAAGTACAGCAACAACAATCTTATTCTTTGAAAGGTCTGGAAATGTAGATTAGTTGTAGTAGTTATAGATTAACAGCAGTTGTAGATTGTTGTAGTATAAGATATTTCTCCCCTAGCGTGCCTTCGTGGTGTAACGGTAGCACGCTGGGCCGGTATTCCAGAGTTTCGTGGTTCGATTCCCGGCGAAGGCGGTTGCATATTTTTAACTTTTCTGCTTCCGATTAACCTAATGACTCTACAGTAGTAGTTGTAGATTAATAGTAGATTAGTTGGTTTGTTAGCCGGTTATATCCCCCAAACTTTCCTCTATCTTGATGAAACTGAAAATAAACTCTTAATGTTTAAGTTTTCAATCAGTTTCTGCAACAATCGATCTCAAAATATGAAGATTGTATTTTTTAACAAAAATCAGTTTTTGCATAATTACACTGGACTTTAAAATATGAATCGTAATCTCAGTTCTTTTCATCCCTAAAAATTGCTTCTTATTTTCTCCCAAAACGTAAAGAAGATTAATATAAACACCTTGCTTCATGAATATACCGTTTCAACGAAGACAGAGATACACTCAATAGCTTTCCTGAAAAATACTTTTTTTTTTTGTTACGATTTTGTATAATTTATTTTGTTAGTAATGCAGAGGTTGCGCCACTTCTAGTAGAAACGGCGTATATACATGTGTTTTATGTCAAGGTACACATAATTTTTTGTATTTAAAAGTTTGTATGTATTTAAAGGTTTAACGCATAATTCTCTGCATTTAAAATTTAAATAAAAATGCACGTGAATAGCGTTGTTTTCTGCTGTGTTTTTGGTTTTCATTTGAAAAACTTTATATCCATCAATGAACTGATAGGAAAGTTTATTATAAGAGAAGATAGATGCGAAGAAAAATAAATTTTATATTTGTTCGCTATGTAATTATTTTCAGGCTGGAAAGGCATGCGAAGGAAATTCTTGTGAATCCCACTTATAATCATAAAGATAATAGCATTGGTGAGTTCTTTTTCTCGTTCTTAATTCATACTTTAAATCTTGTTAACCTCGATAATAATAATTTTCGAACGTTAGTAACTTCATTTAGTAAAATAACAACAACTGGAATGACTGTCAAATGTTAGTTACTTTTGTCAAAATATATGTTTCTTAAAGAAAGATTTAATTTTTTTCAAAACATTGTTCAGTGCACAAATGCTTTTATCTTTTCTTCCCCTCAAACTGATATGAGTTAAGCTACTTAAGATTCTCTAAATATCTTTTTGAAAATAGTGATTTCTCTTTCAAAAAAAGAAAGAGATTAATTATTTAATTTACGAATAATATATTAGCATTCTATGTGACAGCTGCTCATAATTGTAAACATTATTACTTTTAACTATGCGATTGCTTTTGGATATATTCACAAAAAACAATTTTCATAATTTTTACTAAAATTTTATTTTATTTTAAATCACATGAATATAATAGTTTGTTTTAGATTCAAGTATCAAGAAATTAATAAGTAATTAAATAAAAACTATTTATTTTCAGCTACCAAACCATAAAACGATATTAGGGCCATTAGCCATACTTATGAGACTATTGTTTTCAATATCGTTTTCATAACATTCAGTCAAGGAGGGAAATGAATAATACTCTGACTTAACATGAATATTAAAAACAAATCAGGATTTCCTACAAATAACGATATACGAGGGCCATCCAGGAAGTAGATTACGTTTCCGTCTGTGTCCGCTAGGGGCGGGGCTAGCGCGGCCATCTTGGGGTCAGAGCGTTGCGCAGCTCAGTCTGCATCTAGCCGTGCTAGTGAGAGGTTCGTGCTGTGCTCCGTTCAGATACTGTGACGGTTTGAAATGTCTGCGTTAATTGAAAATCCCGCGAGCTGCGAGGTGCGCTCAGTAATAAGGTTTCTGACTGCAAAAAACTGTAAACCGATAGAAATCTATCGGCAGCTTCGTGAAGTGTATGGGGACAACATTATCACTGAAGGTGGAGTGCGTCAGTGGGTCATAAGATTTCAAAATGGCCGAACCAATGTTCACGACGAAGATCGAAGTGGGAGACCCAGCATAGTGACCGCCGAAACTTCTCGAAAAAGTCGATGCTAAAGTCCGTGAAATCGAAATTTCACAATAACGGAACTTTCTTTGAGTTTTCCACAAAATTTCGCGAAGTTTGTTGCACGAAATCATCAGCGAAAAGCTTGGTTACCACAAGTTTTGTGCAAGATGGATTCCAAAAATCTTGACAGAGGACCACAAAAATCAGCGAATGGCTGCAGCGTTGAACTTTTTGGACGCTTACCATAAGGATGGTGACTCTTTACTCGATCGCATCGTTACTGGTGACGAAACATGGGTGAAACACATGTGAACTGTGAAACGAAATTGCAATCAATGCGTTTTGATGACGACGCACAGCTGCAAGAAGAGGTAACGAAGTGGTTGAAGGCGCAGGCGGCCGAATTTTTCGACGAAGGAATTTCCAAGCTCGTACATCGCTACGATAAATGCCTTAATTTGTATGGTGACTATGTAGAAAAGTAATATTTGAGTGTGGCTTTCATCTGTATATAATAAAATTTGTTTCCTATACTTTGTTTATTTTTTTATTCCAAAACGTAATCTACTTTCTGGATAGCCCTCGTATTTCTAGATTCAGGAATCTTTTCCTAGAATACAATATGCTTCACTAATACACAACTGAAGAATTTTTTTTTGAAACGACAAAATTTCTCTTCGAATATATTGTAAATGTTTTTACATATTTAATTTTTCTGTATTTATTAAAATTTTTGTCTTGAGTTTTTGTCAGATTATTTCTCTTTTGCATAACGATTTATCCATTTTCAGCAATATTTTATAAAACGAAAATTTTATAAGATTTAGCCATATACAAGTCTCTTGTTATGATGTTAAAAATAGAAATTGTTTTGTTTTTGTGTTCTTTCATAATTTAAATTTTTCGATTCTTAATTTGTCTATAAAAACTAAAAAAATCGTTTCGTAATACAATTTGCAGTTAAATCTCTGATATATTAAAAGGTAGATATTTTTATAAACGTGGCGCTGAATAGTTTTGAATTTAATTTCAAAATAAGGAAATTAATGAGATTTATTTTTTTATTTATTTATTTCCTCTTAATATTCATCAAAAGATCTATTTTTTGCAGTTTTACGAGCAGGATTATTTCACCAACCTTTTTTCGACAAAACTCTACCAAAGTAAGAATTTATTACAGTATTTATTATTAGATATATATATATATACAAGTTTATTAATCAGTAGACTAAAATAAGTTAATATATTTTTAATTTAGTTTTAGCTGAAATTATCTTACTTCTTTCATTTATACTTTAATTTAAATGTTTTATTCACATATTTATTTCAGTTACCTGAATTTTGGAGCTCTCGGCTCCTTGATTGGTCATGAGTTAACACATGCATTTCTTGGCACAGGTAAAGCAGTTTTTCTTAAGCTGAAACATCAGCGAATATATATGTATTAAATATATTGCGTATATACAGCTCCTTGAAAGTTGGAGAAAGAGCTAAAATTTCTACCATTTTAAAAATACGGCAATTTTACAAGTAATAAGTTAGGAAAACATTGCCTTATATTTGCACACTATATAATAAAGTCTTAAGATACTCCATAAACCCACACTGGATCTAATGAGTCTGAAGGATATAAAAGTACAGTCATCTCTCGATTAACCGCGGTTGTATTAACTGGATTGCAAATTAAACGGGCATGTGAAAAAAAATCTAAATCTGTTTACCGTAGAGCTTTAGAGAAATTACTTTCGCAAACATTGGGCGCAAAATAAAATTCTTCTCTGGAAAAATACGAAAAGTTAAGAAAAACATCGTCTTGTAACAGCCGTTACAGCAGATGATGTCACAGTTTCTGAGAGTTCCTTTTATCTACAACAGTAAGCAATTTTGACTGTAAACCATAATACATAAAAATTATAAAATAAAAAACAAAAATGTTCGAATCAACTTTTTTTACTAGAGTTTGAACTCAAATTATGAATAACACTTTTCTGTTTATTAAAATATTAATCATTACTCTCTTCTATATTTTATAACTTTCCTAGCTCTAAACGTACTTTTATCTTAATCGTGAATCTCGTCTTCGGTATTACCGCAGTAGGTCTGTAATTAAATGTAAATTGTAGAAAATTCCTCTTCCAACGAAACTGGTGCATCTCACTAATAAGGGCTTTCTGCACAACAGTAGAAATTTAAAAATTTCTAGAATTTTTTTATGAAAAATCTAATTTCTTAGGTCTTGTAGACCCAGCGCACTTCATTGCGTTATTATTGGACTGTGACTGAAATACGTAGCGTGACAATTAAATAACGGGATTAGACTAAAAAATATGCCTTATAGAAAACTTATTACAAATAGCTGTTAATTCCCTTCAACATACTTCCTTTACCTGCCTGTACACCTCTTAACGTCTTTTCTATTGTTCGAAGTAATGCTGCAGGTTTTTTGAGTGTCAGTTACTTCAGCAAATCTGCCGTTTTTGCAATGACCTCTCCTACAGACTGAAAATATTTTCCCTTTAATACACTTTTCTCTTTTCGAAACAGAAAGAATTCACATTAGGCTAGGTCTTGTGAATATAGCGGTTATTCGAGCACAGTAATTCTCTTGCCCGCTAGGAATTGTTTCACAGATGTGCGCCGGCGTTGTCCTGAGTTCGCATCCATGAGTTTTTCCACAAATTTGTCTTTTCCTTTCCCTCAGCTTGGTCATGATATTAATTAATCTGGTTTGCCGTTTGGCCCTGAGGTCCCCACTCAAGCACGATGACATCCTTAATACCGGGGGAAAATATAATGATGAACATGACATTCATTTTCTACTTGCTTATTCGAGCTTTTTGCTCTTTGGCAAAGAAGGAGGTCCTCCAGGGCATGGATTGACACTTTTCTTCAGATTTGTATTAAAAAATCTATGTTTCGTCACATCTCAAGACTTTTTCTATGAGTTCAGTCTCTGCTGTAAATTGTTCCGTGATGTCAGAGCAGACGTTTTTTCTATTCTCTTTTTGCTAACGTATGAGGTTTTTATGCGCTATTTTTGCACCAACTTTCGTCATTTGCAAATCCTTATGCAACATTTTTTGTTATTGTCTCTGTGTCAATGTTCGTCTTGCCTATCATCATCAAAATACTCAAACGCAGAAATATCCTTAATTTTCTCAGTTATCGCCAAGCACTTAGTCAAAAATTGAAAACATTCAATCGGAAGTTTTTTTTTTTACTTTCACGAGGAAATGGAGATAAATGCGCTGCTAAATTTTTAAACTTATCATGATCGCGGCACTCCGATAAAACAACGTCCGTTTCAACAAGGATTAACAAAAACTATGCAAGACCTGCAATTATGGCTCCACTTGTACTGGAGGTATTAAAGTCAACTACATTCCATTCTTATTACGATTCATTAAGCCTATTGCATGCGCAATCCCGTTATTTGCTTGTCGCAGTTTGCTGTAAAATTGCTGAAAGGTGTAAAGACATAATTGGGAAGATAAAAAATAAATTCTTTCCTATTACTTCATCAAAATCTATTACTGATGTAAAGGTATTACGATTTCGCGATTGCTATTCAATTTTCAGAAACAACAAAACAATCTTCCCAGGTAAATATCACTGATGTGGAATTATTCACCTTTTCTCTCCTCATTTGCAACCTTCGCAAATCCTCTCATATTATTTAATGTTGTATAATGCTTGATCCGCCAGTGAGTGTAGATAGATATTGTTCATGGATTTGTTTTGTTACAGACTGTTACATTAACAGCGTAAAATTTCATCCAAACCAACCACTGAGACTTTCGATAACTAAAATATCACAGAGCTCTCTAAATGAAACGCTAATCCTCGTAAAAATCAAGCAGATTTTCGTATATTAGAACAACTGTATCATTAATATTTGCTCATTATTTAGTAACTCACTACAGTTTTGGAATCTCTTAAAACTCATTGAAAAAATGACCATCAAGTAGATGACAGGCAAATTAGCATGAGATCGATTGAGTAAAGAACTTCAAAGATCATAATGCAAATTAGTGAAACCTTTCTACAGATGTTACTGTAAACAACTAGTATTTCATATCGTAAAAGGACAATCGGAGACAAAGAAACATGTAACTGCTACACTTAGTAAATAATAATTTCGCAAATAAAGGGGAAACAATTCTTTCAACTGCTGTTAGAAAAGTTTATGATGCGATCTTTCGGAAAATTGTGCATATAGTTCTATTAAAACCCACTTACTTGTTAGATTAAAAATAATATTCTATTCAAAAGAAATTAAGGCTATTGCAACTTCAGCGTGGTATAATCAGGAACAAACAAACGAGCCCGCTGATGTTATTGGCTTCGTTTTTTCAGTAGTTCCTTAAAAAACTTAGCCAATTTTATATCTTTAAAGGTAGATATACAAATATACACATATACAATCATACATATATAATGTTATGATTCAGCAAAGTATAGCTGTGGATTGCAAACAGATATCTGCATTTAATGGTCTTAGTCAATGTGCTCAAATACACTGATTTTCAAAATTTAAGCAACAAGCAGAAAACTGACAATAGCTCAAAAAGTATGCAAGCTCATAAGCTATTTTTCCCTCCTTCCGGAATGCCTTCGTGGTATAACGGTTAGCATACTCGACGCGTATTCGATATGTCCAAGATTCGAGTCCCGGCGAGGGCACTGCACACTTTCCACGTATCCAGCATCAAAATATCGTAATGACTCTACAGTAGTGCCTGAACTAAAAATGTGGTGGATGCTGATTTTTTACCACCAGGATTTGGCGATTGGGTTCCCTAATCCAAACAAGTTGGTATTATGGTCATAACAGGGCACATTTCTCCTTCCTTCCGGCATGCCTTTGTAGTCTAATGGTTAGCAGCCTCGGCACGTATTCGAGAGGTCCAGGATTGAGTCTCAGCGAGGGTACTGATCGTTTTTCATGAACTCCTGCTTCAAAAATACCTAATATTTCTACAAGCATATTAAATGAAACTTGGGAATATATTTATTGCACCGCCTGTAAATACAGGAAAATATTATACAGAATATTTTATAGTTTATGATATCATCAGGAGCATACCTTCTCCTAAATTCGGTCATGAAAATTAAATGCGAAAAGCTTTCTGAATAGTGAGTCTGGTAACCTCTAACAGAAACATAAGTCTGACAGCGATGTCTCATGCTGTTTATGATGTCAATGAGCTGCATGGATAGCAATGCTCACTGAGCATGCTGACCACTTAATTTAGACTATAGTTTCTTCTTCAAGAAAGTGGAGTACAAAGCGAACTGTGTGTGGAGAGTATTATCTGCTTTCAAAATGAATGTGTCACCATTTGCGGCAGCACACAGATGAACGGCAGGATCCAGTATGTCATCTCTGTATCTCTGGTCACTCAGAGTTCCATGTGGCACCACATATAGGTCTGTGCACTTCAACTAAAGTTACTCCTTTTCATACAATAACCTCACCTCCTGCACAGGTATTTCTTTACCGTACGTTAGACGAAAGATATCGAGTGTTAGCTGCTCTCCGTATATAAACTCATCGAAAACCACTTTGTAAAACAAAGAGAGACTCATCAGTGAATAGTATAATTCTTCCCTATTTTTCAGTCCAGTTTAGATGATTCCGTGCCTAACTCAAATGCTCTATCCGGTGGCGGGATGCAAACGGAACACATAATTTCGGTGGAGTAGCATACATACCTCTCTTTCATGTAACCTTCTGCTTACTGTCATGGCTGATAATGTCCTTCTTGTAGCATAAATAAGCTTGGATCTACACTGAGATACAGTGCATTCCTGTTTCAATATACCATAAGTCGCAAATATCGGTCACCTGCAAAAGTAATAACTTTTGGACTATTTTCGTTAGGTATTCGAGAGGCTAAACCAGTGATTAGAAATTGGTTTCACAGCTAGCTTACCGCAAAACGGCTGACATTTAGCCATCTTGCAACGCATGACTGTCGTTGACCTGCTCCTAGTCAGCCTGCGGCTCTAAAACGTAATTTTGCTGGTAATTCGAACTCATTTTTACAGTTTGGCGATCTCCAAGTTGTTTAACATGCCTTCATTCATTGAACAGCAGCTCCCTCCTAAACAGATGGTTTTAAGCTGTATCGATTTATGTAAAGCGGTGGCAGCGCTACTCGTTTGCAAAATGCCACACAATGCAGTTTGCTTTTATTCGTTCTGCATTCAAATTTCAAGACTTTTAATTATTTTTAGCCATTTTGTCGTTCTTTTTCAGGTTATTGCATAACTTTACAAAGCTGCCTGTATTTACAAAATTTTCCTCAGATAAGCTTAAGTGATGCTTCCTAAATTAGCACATAATAATAGTCTGAATAATCAGGTAATTTGTATGAGTTTCAGCATAATTTTCAAAGCTTTGTCAACAACTCTCTCAATTATCAGTAGAAATAATTACGGAAGTACATTCTGTTTCCTAACTAGGTTCGACCAGGTATCAGCAAAACGATGAGCATCTACTCTTTTTGGATGCGAATGAACAGCATTATAAAAAGACTTGCGAACGTAACCTTTTAATATATGTCTTCTGTATGGAATAAAACGTAACCTTCTATTCTGCCTATGTGTGGTATATGCATCTGTTGCATTTATGCATACGTGTGTGGGCTTTCCATCTATGTACTGCAGAGTCATTACGTTATTTTGAAACAGGGAGAAGTGAAAAATATTTAATGCTCTCGTCGGGACTCGAACGTGGATGTCTGGAATACGCGCTGAGTGCCATGAATACCTGTCGAGTGTCATTACACCACGAAAGCATGGTGGATGGAGGGAGAAAATGCCTTATATGCTTTCCTTTTTTAAAGGGTGACTGCAGATTAGGGTACTCAATACGCCAAAACCTGGTGGTGACGAATTATTGCCCACCACCTTTCAGTTCGAGTGCCATTGTAGAGTCAATAGGTCCTTTCGAAGAAGGAGACGTGAGAAATGTGCAATAACCCTCGCCGGGACTCGAATCTGGACCACTGGACTACACGCCGAGTGTGCTAACGTTATACCACGAAGGCGTCCTGAAAGAAGGGAGAAAATACCTTAAATACTCCCCTTTTTTAAAAGTGACTGGAGATTAGGAGACCAAATCTCCAAATCCTGGCGATTATGAATTAACGTCTACCACCTTTTAATTCGGGCACCACGTACTGTAGATTTATTAGGTTAGTTTGAAGCAGGAGATGTGAAAATGGGCAATATCCTCGCTGGGACTCGAACCTGGACCCCTTAGCAGTTTTAATTTCATTTCGTAAAAAAAAAAAAAAAAAAAAAAAAAAAAAAAATTAAGAAATATGTTTTGAGTGAAATTAGTCATAAGCTCTGTGGAATTTGCATATATGTGTCAAACTTATTTTTCTCATTTTGTTTATAAGCTATCCAAGTTGTTTTTTTCACTGGGTACAATCGAAAGACAATTATACGGTTAAACGTATGTATTTTAAACTGTAATCAGATTCGTTCCTGGGGGTCGAGCACCTGCGTACAGTATTTTTTTTTTCTGTGTGTGTACCCATGTTTACTTACTGCTTATATACTTTAATATTGCACTACTTAGTTATTGTATTACATTTATGTTTTATGTTCTCTGTTTTATATGCTGGCATTGCAATATGGTTCTTGCACCCTCTGTTCCTAAAGCTGTATCTATCGTACAGCCACCTAGCCCCTGTAAGGCCATGTTTCTCGCCTAAATCCTTAAATTCATCAATAAGCTCTGGATAATGGAGGTGAAGCGGTAAGCACCTGCTTACCTCTGGTAGACAACAGGTGCCCCCGTTCTCCGTCACCTGTCACCTGTACTCCTGTCTAAATTTAAATTAATGAAAGGAAAATACTCTTGTGCTCATTTAGCTAAAACTAAGAATTTCAATTCAACTCAATTTCCACTCAAGTCAATTCAATTTCAATTCAAGTCAACACCAATTCCAATTAAGTAAACAATGTAAGTACCAATTCTAAAATGTATAAACTGAAATTAAAAACGAATTTTAAAGAAAAATTTTAAAATAATTATAAGTAAACATGAAGAGGTGAAGGAATGGGAGTAAAAGAAGTAGTCGTATTTATAGTCTTACTTTCCATTTTTTTAAGTCTAAATTTAAATATATAATTTCATAATTTATTTTGGCCTTTGGGCAAAACTGTTTCTTTACCGCCTTTTGACAGAAAAAAAATCATTGGATAATGTATTTACGCTTGCGCAGGTGACTTACATTTTACATGATAACGACCGAATTTGGCGGCCCTAAATTATGCAGTTACGTGCGAGGCATTCGTTGTATATCCGCCAGGAACATGTCTGCATATAATAATAGTTTTTGACAGAAATGCCTGCTCTAAGTGAATCATAATTTTTTTTTACTTCGTTTCCAATATTGCTTTAAATACTTGTCGTAATTTTATAGGTCGACAGTTCGATGGAAACGGTAACAGTGTCAATTGGTGGAGTGATTATACGGAGAGAAACTTCGAACAGAAATCTGACTGTTTCATACAACAGTATTCAAAGTATCGAATGAATTACACAAGCGGTGGAGATAATTCTTATATGTTGGTGAGGAACATTATGTACATTTTTGTATTGTACCCACAAATATCTTAATGTGTCCTTTCTTTCGTAAACATTTACTCCTAAACAGATATAGGTGTATTACTTGTAAACAGATATAGGGCGATATGGAGAGCGAAGCATTTAAATTTACTTGGAACAAAAACTGGAGTGACAGTTGAAAATAAAATTTTTTTTGTTTTCAAATTAAAGGAAGAGCATTGATAAATAACCTATCGTGAAAAAGTTTGATTAATGAAAATTCTTTTACAAAAGGTATACTTTATTCACAGGATCTTTTAGAATTTGTGTCCCAGAAAACAATGGCATTCTTCGGTACTGGCACTCAGCTTATTAGTAATATGACTTACGTAGAAAAATTCCAGTTCAAAGAAATTTTTGCATGATTAGTAGATTATGATTCTAAAATAATAAATCTATAAGTAAAAATCATTAACGCATTTTTAACACTTCAAATGTGTAAATTAGTTGTTTAAAATGTTTTCTGTATATCAAAATATAAAATAATTAAGTCAAGGAATGCCACATTCAGTAAATCTGCATTATGCAAATATGGATTTACATATTTAAAACTTTAGAAACATATGTCTGCGAAGTTATCGTTGTGGAATGATTTACAGATGCTTTACTTTTTACTACGATATCTTCTACGACGCTGTTTCAAAGCTGCGAAGTTTTTGAACCGCTTAATATTCGACGACGACGTTTTATACCACGATGTTTTAGAACTACGATGTTTTCTCCTTGCTTTCTTCTCTCTTACGATGTTTTCTTCACGATGTTTTCTGCGAGCACCACATCTGTAACTGATTTGGAGAATTGGATCTCATAACGCTTTCTAGTCATCCTTTAAATGGGGGAGAAAGTAAGGAATTTTTGTTGCTTCGACCTTTTAAAAGTCTGTAGATATTATTGATTTTAAAAGTCTGTAGTTATTAATGATATTCTCCTGGAGAATTATTTTAAAGGTGTATAGAGACATTAGGTTATTTTGAGGCCAGAGAGATGAAAAATTAGCAATGGCCTTCGCCGGGGAATCGAACCACGGACCTCTGAAATACCATCTCAGTGGGCTGACCACTACACCACGAGGGCACGCTAGGTAAGCGGGAGAAATACCTTATAGTTAATTCTCAAATATTTACCTTTAGAAATCTTCCAAGTGCTCTGGAAGAATTTTTAAATATTTTCATTTACGCCACTAAAAAACAAGAAGCCAAGAACTTACGAAATTGTTCTGTTATCAGAAGCCATATACTCCATATGAGCTGCCAGTGTTCTGTATTCAATCTCCTTTACTTATTTGTTACATGAACAACTAATACACATACTCTGTAAAGAAAGGATTCAAAATAGGATGGCAAGAAACTCTGTATAGAAGCAAATGACTTAGCAAAGTTTGTTACTGCTTTTACTAGTAAGAAAACTCTGAAAGACGAAGGAATGAAATATAACACTTAAGAATGAAATACAAAAGTTGTAATAGTTAAGAATAAAATATAAAAGTAAATAATGCATTTTTTGTACAGAATATTCCACTTTTATTTTTTTTTAATCTTAGCTCTTAAATGAATAACTTAAGAATCTCTTAGCTCTTAGAAAGAAAGTATTATGAGAGATGTAAAGATATGTTCTTAATTAAAGCCATAATTTCTAAAAACATGCAACAAGATCTGTACGAATAAAATGCATTTCTTCAATGAGGCCTTTTCATGAAAAAAAAAGAAAAAAAAAAAAAAAAAAAAAACACGTGAAACTAAATAATTTAAACTCCAGTATTTAAGTATGAGGTTCTAGAGTCTCAGAGTCTTTGGCAACATAAATTGAATGAGAAGTCCGAAAGGCTTAACCTATTAAACCGCCAAAACTACAAGGAATGTTTCTTTTCTCATGAAAATAATAACAAATATTAAATTAAGCATTTATAACATACATTTACATTGAAAATTAAAAAAAAAAAATGCTCTTACCTGTGGAAAAAGCGAGTGTTGCGTTCGCGCAACGTCAGCGGAATAAGACTACGGATGTTTAGTGAGTAGGATTGCACTCGTGTGATGTTTTTTTTTTTTGAGTGGAGCGCAGGATTACTTTTTAGCTGTATAACGTTTTATAAATCTACAAATCACTTTACTTGTAATTAATTTAATATTAAAATATACATTTTATTTCTTTTACAAATACAGATTATTTCAATTGAAAGATTCAAGCATGAAAAGCTTGATTACAATCATGATGTAAAGCTACATTACATGCTTTGCATCTACAAACAGTCTGGCTGTGGTACTCTTTACAACAAAATCTTTTGTTATCAACGGACTTTACGATAAAATGTTTACCATCTCATGCAATGGTTTTTGAATGCTGAATTTACTAGGTCTTCCTGTTGCTGATCTATTTCTGGTTAATTCTACACTCTCAATAGGAGTTTGCAAAAGGAATAATGCATTCTCGCGTCTGAAATCTAAAAGAGACTTTATATTTCCAGAAAAAAAGTGGTGATATTTAGTAATTTTAGATACGGTCTCACCTCATATTAATTTATCAGTTTTGTCAATTTGACTATTGTCAAATGCAAATTCTGCTTTATATTCCTGTATTGCAAACGTGATATCGATTCTCGTACAACAGAAACAGAAATGTCCTTATCAAAAGACCAATATATTTTTTGTTGAGGTAAAGAATGATATCCTGTAAGCAATAATATTTCAATAAATCTTCTGATATAGGCTTCAGGTGCAATAAATTCTGGGCATTCTTTTTTTTTTTCACTGAGCGTATATATTTGTCTGTTCAACGAGAAGAGAGTAAATGTTTAAACCAACAAGAAAATCGAAAATCTGTGCACTAGTGTTACCTTGTATTTTGTCTTTTATAATTTCTCTTTATCTTTTTCATGTTCTTCCTGAGACATAACTAACAGTTCTTTTTTATCCATTTCAAGCTTCTACTTTTTAAACTTTTTATTATGACTATAAATGCTTTTAGAAGGCTGAAACTTACTTCTTACGTGAATTTCAACTTCCCCAGCAGTATCGTCAGGTTAAATATCATGTCATTATTTAAACCATTGCTATTCCTTTCTTCTTCGTCACTAGCCTCTGCAATTTCTGGGGGAACAACAACAATATCAGTTTCATTCTGGTCATTATTAACATTATCATCATCTGTTTCTTCATCAAAAAATCTTTGAAGGGCTTCTTCTAATGTAAGATACCTCGTTCTAGGCATTTTTAAACAACCAGAACATCGAAAGGGATGAGTGAAAAAGGAGATTAATTACCCGTTTTCTGCCGACGTTGCGTCAGCGCAACACCTGTTTTCCCTTAATGATGACTCATAAAGACGGCGATTCTTTCGTTAAATATTTTCAGCAAATATACCCGGTCGAAAATTTTGCTTAAAGTATGAGATTAATTATTACAAACAAAAATGATTGTTGAAGGCAAATATTTTTTACAAAAATAATCTTAATAATATTCCCTACACAAAATCATCTGCTGGTATAAAATATCTTAGGTAGTTATATTTATATACGCATTTATTTTGACCGTTGCGGCAACGCAACACCAGCGGTTCAATGAGGCCTTTTCATGAAAATAAAATAAAATTTAAAAAAAAAAAAAAACATGTGAAACTAAATATTTTTAAACTTCAGTAGTCTCAGCCTCTTTGGCAACATAAAATGAATGACTTAAGCGACTTCTGGCTGATGTGTCTTGAAAATTACAACAGAGACTTGGATAGGATGTAAAAGGCCCTTTTATTGACTCAGATAAATTAATAGAAGGCACAGCTTGTGCTTACAGAAACACCTAGCATTTATGGGGTAAATCAAAAGTGACGAATTTAAACGAACAAAGTAAACTGTAAGTTAGCTCAAAGGCTATACAGACAAAATGCGCGCAAGGCTGGTTTCAACCTAATACTGGCGTGACAAGCCTAATGGCGAGAATTTCGCAACGCCGCAGATAAACTGCTGTCAAGAGAATCAATTAGTAGCGTGATCTTCATTAGCAGCACACTCTGATTCTACCATTTAAAAGCCTTCCTTTAAATACTCTCTTTTTCTACCTCATTTGAATAAGCGTGAGCCAAAATTTAGCATTCTGGCAGGAAAACGGAAAGTGAGAAAGACAGTAAAGGTCATCAACATAAAATAACTGGTTTATAAAATAAATAAATACTCTATGAGGTAAAATAATACAGAAGCGTTCAGTCTTTTGCAGCTTTCAAATTACAGAACAGTCTTTTATTACAGACACTTTTCTTACTTAGTTAAATTTTTTCCATCAGAATACGAAATGTTTGGAATTTCTGTGAAGTCCCAAAGAAAAGCAGAGATATGAAATACAAACAGAAGCATAAAAATAATTCTCTTAAATTAGAGTTTGATATATTTCTCTAATTATATCTTTTTTTCTTTCTTTCTTTTTTTTTTTTAGTCCAAAGGGATTTGAATCCCGAAGGACTATTAGTTTCGTTTTGGCATTTTGCGTCGGACGGATAAATGTCGGTTCACTTTTCAAACTGTTGCCATAAAATGTTAGAGTCCTGCATTATATTTGAAGAAATTAAATAATGAAAATCTGCGTAAATGTATGTATATTTCTCGTATTGTCATAAAACAACGGTACATGAGTCATCGAATTTTGAATAACGTAATCCTCCAACGAATATGAGCATGTGGAAGACCAAATTTGAAATTTGAAATTTGTTTTTAGATCGATTTCCTATTTTTAAAACTTTGACGAATTTTTGATTAACAAACTCAAGGATTTCAAAGCGAGCAATGGCAACGTTGTGCAGAAAAAACATTTTTATCTCCAGCGCGTGAGTCTCTGTATCGGAAATTCTAAAGATTGCTCGTTTTAAAACTATTTTGCGATATTGCTGTTGCACTGGATCTTATGGTTTAAGTGCGAGGAACATGATATTTAATAAAGAAAGGTAACACACAAAATGTTAAAAAACGCCCCTTTGGACGTAATTTAAAATCTGAAACATTTCAGATTTTTTTTTTTTTTATTTTATTTTATTTTTTTTTTTATTTTTTTATGGAACTTCTTCGATTCAGCATAAGCAGAGACATAGACAAAAAATATTGGGTGAGGGCACTTAAAGAGATTTCTAAAATTTTTGCAGAGGATTAAGAACTTAATATAATGGCACAACACACAAAATTTGAAAAAAAAGAAATTCTTCCTTGATACTAATTGTCGTTAAGCCACTGCTTGTAAGAGTACAGTGTTTTTCAATTTATATTATGAAATAATGCTCGTTTGCAGATAAATGGCGCAGAGACACTTGATGAGAATATAGCTGATGCTGGAGGTCTGAGAGCAGCATATTTGGTAAGCATTTATTTCTCTCTTTCTTTTTTTAAGAACTCAGGAATTAATGAATTTTTTAAGTAAATAAACCCGCGTAGAGTAATTTTAATATTGGTTTCAAACTGAAAAATTAAAAAAAAAAATAAATAAAAGTCTGAAACGATTCAGATTTTAACTGTCGGTCAAAAGGGTTCTTTTTTAAATTTCTATATGGTTAATCAACACAGAATATTTATTTAAATCAGTCAGATTAAAATGTAAAATTGGTTCAATTTATGTCAGTATATCCAGTGTACAAGAGTAATTAGACATATAAATTATCACTTAATAGACATGCATTCAAAGTAAAGAAGACTTGTACGTATGATTTAATTACTAATTTCGTCTGCATACATTAATATGAAGTGATGGTTTCCGCTCATTAATGCAATCGGATTTTTAACCCATAGCAGCTACAAGAAGGTTTCGTTTAATTCTTTGTACATTCTGAAATATGTAACAAGCGATTAGCTGAAGCGGAGTAAGAGGCAAGAAATCATAGAAATTGGTTTCATTGCCCAGGTAATAAATATAAATGCCGAAACACATCTTTCATGAAATGGAGTCATCATAAACAAAGATAAGCAGCGTTCATGCTTCATTGTTGACCTAGATTCTATTAAGTGGCGGACTTCAATGAATGGTTTTCTCAAAATGAAAATGAGGACTGTGAAATGTCAGAAAAGCCATTGAAGTACAGTTGAAGTACACGGAGCAGCTAGAGGAAACTTCATCAATTAAAATTTTATTTTTACAGAAGAGTGCGGTATCTAGCTGGTAGAAACGTCAAATAGCTGGCAAGCAAAAGCCAATTATTACTTTTTTTCATCATATTTGATCGTTCTTTGCAGATTATTCTGTATGGTACGTACAGTATAAATTTGTAATTTGCTCAAGTTACTAGCATATAATTTTTGAAATAATGAATGTATTTTGTCAGCTTTAAAAGTCATATTTGTTACTTTCCGTGTGATTCGACCTTCTTAATCATCCCGCCACGCCACGGCCCAGTTTGGTCGGATAATCGAAACTTTGCTGTAAGAATATTGTTACGTTATTTTCTTCCTTCACGTTCGTATGGGGTTCGTAGATTTGGAGTGAATAACGACAACACTTGATGAGGTACCAAAACACACTTTATTTAGCCAATATTAATCAGGACAGCTCCAAAATCCCTTTTTACAGTCTTCGAAGATCTACTATGAACACGCTGGAACAATCAGCGACAGCCTTCAGGCTATCACGGTGAAGACAGCTTCAAGGCAAAGCCCTAGATAGAGTACAGCTCCCGACTCTCTTCGATCGTTCTCGGAACTCTACGTACTCTCGAGACTCTCCACGCTCCAACTCGCGGTGCACTCGACGATACACAAGAGTACAGCTGTCGACTCGGTTCAGTCGTTCCCAGAGCTCAGCACATTCTAAGACGAAACTCGAAGATGCACTAACTCGCGATACACTAAAGACTCTCTGAATGCACTCGACGTCCAACTCGGCGCTAGACTTCGAGACACTCGCTCAATGATTGACTATCAGCTCGCTAGACGAGGCACTAATTCGATACTGACTCTCCGCGTACCAGCAGGGTTTATATAGCTTTTGACTGGTGTTCGAGAACATGCTGGGCTAAACCGGTAAGAATTCGTTCCAGAGAATACTCCATCCGTCCATGGCATATTTTGTCGCCAAACGGGCGATTTCTCGCCAAATGTGGCAATCCGGCCTTCCTTTGCTTTAGGGTTTTATGGCAACCCTAAACCTGCTCTGCGGGGAAGTTATCTCACCGCGTCTGTACATTTCGTAACAATATAAATAAGTCCAATTCATACAACACATTCCCTTCTAGTTGCGTAATTTTTTTCACGCTTTTTTAATAAGGATATATGGTTGTTCACCGGAAATATCGAAGCAAAATATCGCTGATGAAAATGTCTCACAATAACCAACTGTAAAAAGTTTTAGTGAATTTCGCGTAATGATTTGTGAGTACAAAAAGAAAGTAACATTATTGCCTTTATATTTCATATATGTTTTAATAATAAATAACATTTCATATGCGTGTTAGTAAGTAATTAATAAATTTTACTGAAAAAACAATAAATAATGCAGGCATTCAAAACCTGGAAATCGGTAAAAATAATGCTACGTATGGCTCTTCATAGAATTTTAAACTTATACTACTAGCTTATAAAAGTGATTACTTAATTAACCACTTTTATAAAGACGTTTTTAACAGATTTTCATGAAACAACATGATAAAAAAATAAGAAAAAGAAAACTAAATTATATTGATTTCCTAATTGACTTTTCAGCAAAAAATTTATTAGTTAATACAAAAATAGGGAATACAGAGGTAAATCTATTACTTATTTTCTCTTGAACTCTCAATTCAGTAAGCGAAAATCCTACTAACATTTTTGGCAGAAAACGCACATCTACGATGTTATCTTCATGCAAGAATTTGCAGGTACTCTATTTTTACCGCGATATTTTAGTAGACACTATTTTTAAATTACGAAGTTTTTACGACTCTTCGTTTTTTTATTGCGATGGCTTTCACCTATAACTGAATATAAATGCTCCGGTGACTCTTCTTCAGCCATTTTGTCTCTCTTGAAAGGTGAGTGATGAGATTCATGGTATCTTTATGAGCCCACGTATACTATGAGTGCCAAGGAAAAATAATACCATGATTCATAAATTGAATACGGATTCATATCCATTGTCAGTACCAGAAATGAAAGATCGTAGTTTGTTATTTGTATAAAAGTTTTGATGAATGAAATTTCTGAAAACTTTAAAGCAATAGTTATAAAATGCTTATCCTCAATAAGGAGAAATACTTTTTAAGTGTTACGGGATTTCTCTGAAAAAAAAATATTATGTTCATCTCAGAAAATCAGTGAAATGAATCATAAGACTTTACAAGTTTTTCTTATGGCAAACACATGAGGCAGAATAAATGCATGCACTGAGGAAACTTCGATGGAACTGAGCGCTCCCACAATAGCAGAAATTGTCTGGACTTGGGTCAAATTCGCTGTAGTTCATTATTAGAAAGTAAAGAGGAATCAGCGATTTCAAGCATATATTTATATTATAGTAAAAGGTTTTCAGCGATACTTTGTATATCTCTTGGGGTTATATAATGGACTAGTTAGTGTCGTAGTATGGCATACCGGTAACTCGAGATGAGGCGAAAAAGAGGGTGGAAGCTTTAAAGAAAAATGAAGAAAGAGAGAAGAAAGTACTTGATCGGAAAATAGTACATAATGATGACGACATTTAGGAATTTATTCTGAGAAATAAATAAATATCTCTGTACATACTCCGCCATTAATAAGGGACTACACGGGCTGGACCAAATTGAGAACATTTCTATCAGGCGGGAGATGGGACCAGTCAAAAAACCGTCATTCAGAGGTAAAGGAATTTTCAACTTGCCGCGCCCTCGGTCTCACTTTTCCCGATACAATGGACTTTTAAATTCTGTCTAATGCGACACCCTAAACTGGTGAGACGGGGTCACCACTTTCAGAGCACAGAGACCACGGTAAGGTGGACCGATGAAACTGGAGATCTGATTGGTCCTCAGATTGCTCCCGCCATTATTACGCGGGACTTTACGCCATCCTACCTGTGCGACAATCCAACTACTGTATCTTAAGTACCGTCTCTTAATCTTCTCCTACAAGTGACTAAAACCGCCAGATTTGAGTTTTTATACCCCCGGTGCCTAGTCTGCCAAAGATCAAATCTCTTATCAGTACAATGAACGATTCCGGGATTGGATTATTCTGAGAATTAAATAAAATTATGTATTAGGAGTTTATTATGGGAAATGAATACTTTCGACAAGCGTTCAAGAAGTAACCAATCTAGAAGTCCCGTCTTTCTCTCAGCTGTTGAGGGAATGCATTGTGCTGTATTCGTAGATGGTATAAAAATTTCATTTCACTTATTAATGTACAGAGTGCGGCAGGGAAATTTCGTTATTTGAAACGCGCGCCATCTAGCGACATTTATTCCGAGAAGAGTGGGGTGACGCTCAATGAAAAGAGCGGTGTCTAAAGTTTTATGTCATGTAGTGGACGTAAGAGAGAGAGAGAGAAGCGCGCTCTTCGCCATGGAGTCGTACTTTTCAACGTACTGAATTTTTATACATATAAATTGGCAGTAGTGCAAAAACTTAATCCACACGATTTTCTTTCACGAAAAAATGCATGCGATACCATTCTTGACCATATGCCTCATAATGCTCTTGTGTTCTTTAGCGATGGGGCTCATTTTCATCTTTCCGTTTGCGTAAATAAGCGAAAAACATGCGCTACTGGAGTGGCACGAATCTCCGTGAACTTTATGAGAAGCCCCTCCATACAGAACGTGTGACTGTTTGGTGTGCATTGTCCAGAATAGGCATCATTGGACCGTGGTTTTTTGGAGAACATTTCCATGGACACCTTATCTCCTTACGAAGCGATCTTCAATGGCCAGAGGGCTAGCCTGATTTAGCTCCGTGTGTTTCCTTTTTGTGGGACTATCTGAAATCTCTGATATTTAAAGACCCTGGCTGAAATGAAGAACAATATTCAAGCTGCTATCTACATAGCCTTCAGCATATAGTTGATATGCTGGTAAAAGTGGAAAGAAACTTTAAAACTCGACTCTTTCAGTGCCATTGATCAGAACGGAAGCCACCTTAATGATATTAGTTTTAAACCATAATATAAACAACTTTAAGCGTCTCTCTATAACTCAAAAAAATTAAACTGATATCCCTTATACTATTTGTGTTATTCATTTTTAAAACAAGGTAGTTTCCCTACCGCACCCTGTATAACCGTGTTAGCTTGTGTAGAGGACCTGGAACTTCGAGAAATAAATTTTCGAGTGTTTGAATAATCATTCTTCTTTACCAAGCTGTTGGATGTGCAAAATCGGAACTGCTGGGGAGAAAGACCTTCATGGAGGACTTTCTAAAAGAAACTGGCTCATATACGTTTATATATGGGAAAAACCACGAAAACGCCCATGCAGCCAGGCCGTTAGCGGGATTTGAACCTCGGACAGAACTACCAGTGTTCAACGACTTCATTACTTGGCCATTGGTGGACTCCAGGCAAAATGGATTACGCGAAACGAACCACGAAACGAAGCCACGAAACGAAGGCTGTAAAACCTACGTGAAACTTACTTGCAATTGAATTCGAAGTTAACAGCCCAGATGCTTCCTCTTCCAGTATTTCCGAGGAAAGTGTTTCGTAAACGGATAATTAGGATGTTATAATAGGCCAAAGGCCCTTAAAAGTTCTCAGAAAAACACTTAAATTACATTTGTGCACTTAAAAAAGATGTTATGCCCATCTGCTTGAAGTGCTCTTTTTCCCATTCAGCGAACTTCTCTGGATGTGAGAAATATCTATTAAAAGCAAGAAATTAGAGAGGAAATTTAAAGTACAAAAAATTTACATTTAAGGTGCCAGGAGAATATATGAAGACATGAGGACTTCCCGAGTTTTATGACTGAACCCAAAGAGATTTAAGATACAGAAAAAGTCCCAAGGAAAATCTTTCTTGTACGGATGATGTTCTTAAGCAACTTATGAATACTAGCACTCACTCTTTCTACAAGGATCTGTTGCTAATTATTGATAAATACAGAAAAGCTAATAAAAATTTTGAAAAATTCATGTTAGCAATTAAAATTATTGACTTCGAAGCAAAACGAAGCTCTTCCAATTAATCTTCCTTACTTCCATGCTGCATGAATCAGTCGTATTTCTCCCAGGCACATAATCCAAAAATTTGTAAAACTCCTGAATTTCAACATCGTGTGCCTTCTCTTCCTTTAACGGACATTTTCATTAGAATAGCTTACGGGAAATGCATGTCTTATAAGGTATTTTTTTATTAATTCCTTATAAGTTCCATTCTACCTTTTTAATGAGGCCGCATTTTGTGAGCTACCAGTTTCGGATCCAATGCTGCTCGTCTGGTGATAATACCAACTCCCTTCCTGTCTTCTGCACTGCAGTTTTCCTGCTTTGCTGATCAACAGACTGTTTACTTTCCAAGGAGGATCAGATGTTTTGCTATCTATAGAGGATAGTGAGCCTCTATTTCCCTTCTTACATGCAATATTCCTTGAGATTTGAACCAAGGAATTGATATTCCCTTCATGCCAATAAAGGGACTGTCTTATGTTACGGTAAGAACTGCCCGATGTAGCCGATCTCTAGAACAACAGCTTCGCAGTTCCAACATCCACTATCTCAACAGCTGGCTCGGAAGGTTGAGTTGTCAAAGTCAAATATGATACTAAATGAACCAGGCACGCTGGTTTCTATGAAACTCAATTAAATTGTATTCACGTCATGAAATCTCCCCCCCCCCGTCGGGTGTGATCGACCAAAATTCATTTCGCCATCAACTTGTTGGCCATTTCTGATTTAAATCAGAGAAACATACATGTGTGGAGATGGTTGGTGATTTATGTCACAGTGCATATTCTACCTATTAATCATGCTGCCTATGGCGTAAATTGCAAGTAATTACTTGCAATACAATTTGTGAGTCTGTAGCTGATCCTAGATGTGCATAAAAAAGGAATGAATACAAAGGGAAAAATAGAAAAAAAAAGTGGTATTTCAATTTTCAATATCAACGAGTCTCGAATGTGGAATCAAATGAATAAGTAAATAAGTGCGCATAATTAATTATAATCAAAGCCAACATATTGCTGAATTTTATTTAATTTTAAATTCGCTTTCATTAGGAGCATCTCGTATTCTTTCAGAGAAAATTTTTGCAGTATTAGTCTTATTTATTATTCCTAATAACAACCATAAATAACTAAAAATGTATACTTAACTAATTATTCTTTCAAAAACTGTATAAATTTCATTTACATAGAAAAATTGTCATCAATTTTACTGAAATACCTTGTTTTTTAGTGCATTCGGATAGTTAGCTGCTATTATAATATAAATTATCTTTGCTACTTTGATTATGAGATACATTTAAACTTTTTTATCTTTTATTCTTTATTTTACTATAGGCCTATCAATCATGGGTGGAAAATAATACAAATGAGCCGAAGCTAGCAGATCTGATATACACCCCAAAACAACTGTTCTGGATAAGTGCAGCTAACGTAAGTTTGTTTTATGCCAGACATTTCTAAAGTTACTTCAGTAAAGATATTTGAACCGAAAGTATTGTAAAGTATGCTTAAATTTTCATAAAAATTATTTTTTCTCTTAAAGCAAAAACAGATGTAAATTATGTTCAAGAGCCACTACGCTACTAATTTTCACATTATCCTTGAATATATGTGTTATGCTAAAACTAACTCTCCGAAAATGAAGAGAAATAGAAGCGAAGGACTGACACTCCGTCATATATATTTACCCCCTTTAACATGATAATTGTTGTTTTATAAGCGTTTATTGAAGAGAGATAGATAATTACGAAACTGGAGTGGAAGTCTGATTCATATCCCGCAAGACTACTGAGGAACCATTCTCAGAAAAGAAAGAAAGCCGGGAAATGGAACTGTTCCTACAACATCAACAACAGTCAAGCTAAAATTCAAGTTAGACGCTATAAAATGTGTTAAACCTTTGCACTCGAAAGTTGACTCTAGATCAATTTTGATTAGATGAGGTAATTCGAGAGAAGACTCTGGATCATCATTCGATTTGATTGGAAAATTCGAACAGTAACGAGGTTTATATGGGTTTGGCTTGGGCAATATCGCTTCATGAGTGTGTTCAACAGTACATACGTATATAATAAAATTGCTAGTCTTTAATCTTAAAAGCATTTTTTTTTAGATTCCTTTTTATATATGCGTCTTTGACGTTAGTTCGAAATCAACAGTCGTGGCAACAGGAATATTATTATCAAAGTTACGAAGCCCATTATGCATGCAATACAAGGAAAAAAATCAGTTTAAGTGAAAATGAGTTAGATTTCTTGCTGACAAAGAACGAAATTAGGTCTATGCATCGACTACTTGACGACAGAGAAAGCAGTGATGAAGATAGAGATAATTTAAGAGAAGGCGAAAAATCAGGTTGATAGATAGTAAATGTGAACGACAGTGATTCCGCCAAAGAGATAGAAAATTCAGATTGGATAACGTCCACAGAATCCGATGAAATACGCCAAGAACAGCCTATGTATCCGGAGAAAGAGCCGCAGGACAGCAAGTATCTTCAGGCATAAAATAACCACTAGATTTCTTTAAAATCATTTTAAGTTAGCTGTAAGAAATTCACCAAATGCGGGAAATCGTCTCGATTTGGTGGTTCGCCAAAGCAAAAATCGTCTTGAGTGCAAAGGATTAAGAACAAGTCTCGTCTCGTGGAATGTCGTGTTCCGGCAAATGAGCTGGAACTTGATATTTCTGCTCTCTAAAATTAATAGTAACAGAATGCTTTTATAGGCATCTGATATCTTCCTTCTTATCAAAAACTGCAAGTTACACAAATTGAAATGATTTTTTGGGAAATTATTGAAATTAACATGCTTGATATTACATAATCTTATGAAAGTTTTCACCACTTCTAATAGTAAATGCATTAATTGGATTCAATGTAACAATCATTAAGTCGAAATTTCATGGCGAAATTATTCTTTCCATCTATCTGAACTAATTATTCTCTCTGATCAATATCGTTGAGCAAATGCTATACTTTATTTTAGGCCCATCTGTCCTTTTCTTTACTTCGTGCGTGTCATATACCAATATATAAGCATAGTTTCTGAACCATAAATTTTGTGCCTTCAGGCTTCTTTCTGAAAATGGCAGATATTTTAATAGTTATCAGATATTACAATATATATGTACGTTTCGTTCTGCTTCACTCTAGACGACTGGATCCTCGACAACTGGAAAACTATGGCTTGGTCAGTGAGTCACGATTTTAGTTGCTAAGAGCTAATGGTAGGATTCGAGTGTGGCGCAGACCAAACGAAGCCATGGACCCAAGTTGTCCCCAGGGCACCTGCAAGCTGTCGATGGCTCCATAATGGTCTGGGCTACTATTTTTTCATGGCATGGCCTATGTCCTCTGGTCCAACTAAACCGATCATTGACGGGAAATGGTTATGTTTAGCTACGTAGAGACCACTTGCAGCCATTCATGGACTTCATGTACACAAATAATAATGGAATTTTTATGGATGACAATGATTAAAATTTGCCGTAACGTGTACGTTAAGGCTGCCTGTGATTTACGTAAAATCTATAATTAAACAACTTAAATAAATTAAGATTTTTTAGTTTTATTACTGTTTTCAAATAAACTAAAGCAGAATAGATATTAATTTGAAGCTTTTAAAATCAATTTTGCAGTAATACTTCACGTTTCATTATGAATACACCGACTACCAATAAGTATTTGGACACCTATGCAAATGACAATATCTGCGATCCTAAGGTACGTCACGGACTCCGCCGGTATATATCGTGTAGGAAACAGCATCGGCTTTAGTCGCATGCAAGATGCCTCGCAGTTCGGAGCTCTTTGATTTCGAGAAAGGTATAATTATCGGGTACCACAAATGTGGCCGATCCTTAAGGCACATATCTAACGATCTGAAGTACCCAAACTCGACAGTGGCCTATGTAATTAAGAAGTGCAAAGTGAGCGGTGATTGTCGGAATGTGTCCCGAGTCGGCAGACCAAAGAAACTGAGAGATAGAGACCGACGAGTGCTGTCCAAAGAAACTCGGAAGAACCGCACCCAACCGATGGCCCTCATCCGCAAGGAGTTTCAACAAGCATCCGGGAGTATTGTTTCAATAAATACCATTCGTAAGGAAGCACATCTGCTTGGTTTTCATGGTCGTGCTGCTGCCCATAAGCCTTTGATCACAAAGTCCAACCACGCTGCTCGGTTAATGTGGTGCAAAGCACATCGAAATTGGACCGTAGATCAGTGGAAAGGGGTTCTTTGGAGTGGCGAATCAAGGTTCACCCTTTATCGTTCGGATGGCAGGGTCTGGGTCTGGTGTCTACCTGGAGAACGTCTCCTTCCAGAATGCATTGTGCCAACAGTCAAGTTCGGCGGAGGTGGAATTATGGTCTGGGGGTGTTTCTCCTGGTATGGGCTGGGACCCTTGGTCCCCATTCATGGTAAGCTCAACTCCGATGCCTACTGCACTATTTTGGATGACAATGCGCTTCCTACGTTGCGGCAGTTTTACGGGTTGGACCCGTTACTTTCAGGACGACAATGCCAGTTGTCATGCTTCGACATTAAACAAGGCTTGGTATGGTGCCAATGGAGTTCATCGAATGGACTTGCCTGCCCAGAGTCCAGACATGAACACTATCGAGAACCTCTGGGACGAGTTGCATCCCCGAATTCAGGGGTGCACTACCTGTGCAAAATCGGTGAAGGAACTTCTATGTCTTCTCCAAGCCGAGTGGAAGAAAATACCACTAGTTGTCATACAAAGACTTGTGGAAAGTATGCCCCGGAGGGTCCACGATGTAATTACCTCTCGTGGAGGCTCTACCAACTATTGATTTTGAATAAAGTTAGTTTTTCTTTTCTATCACAGGTGTCCAAATACTTATTGGTAGTCATTGTATAAATAAACTTCTACCAAAAATAATCGTTTAACTATTTTTTAAGTTTTAATTTGCTTCCAGCTTTGGTCACCTATAGTCATCTTCCTGATTGGTAATGTGTTTAATGGTGAATAAATATTTTGGTTGTCATTGTACCTTGTGAAGTCTTACCTGCCGTTAAACAAATGAATTAGTGCTGTAAGTATTTTGAACATAATAATATTATACATACGCAAAATTTAGTGAACATACATATGGGGTTTAAGATTTGATATGGAATCTCTTGAAAGAAAATTAAAATCAGCATGTCGTCCTTTAATTTACTGAACAGAATATACTTTGTGAAAATCAGTTACATGCAGAATCAAAACTAAAAATATGCGTTATGAAATTATATCATTAAACAACAATCTTTAACCTCAGAAAAAAGTCCATTTAAAGTTCGTAGATATTTGAATTTTTTAAATTAAAAATATTGGAAATTTGACTTAGCTAAAATGTTAATATGTAACAGGTGTCTTAAATTAAAACTTTTCATATCTAGAAACGTACCTTATAGAAATCTGCATTAGAAACATAAGAATTCCGAACTCTCTTTGGCTTCATTTGTATGCGATAGCCAAAGACAATATATAATATACAATATATATAATACATATTTGATATAATGGTAGCTTGAATAAATCTAATCAGGAGAAAAAGTAATGTTCTAATTTACCTTTCAAAGTACTAATTATTTTAATCAGTTACTTGCTAATTTATTTTAAGCAGCTTATATATGAGTATGAATTTCATAAATTTCAATTAAATAGCGTAGACTTTTGTGGCGTTAAGGCCTAAATTATTTCAATCCTTTATTGTAATGGAACCGTTTATTTGCAAGAAACCATTCAAAATATATTTAGTTTTTCTACACATATTTTTACAAATACAACTATTTATATAAGTAACTTGTTTCAGGCAAGATGCGAGAATGCAGATGGACTATTCTATGCTACCAGGTATACTTGTAATTCACACATCCCGCAGCAATTTAGGTAAGTAAGATATAATATAATTAATCTTAAATAACTGGAACTTTCTTTATTTGAGTTATATTAAAACAACATGTCTACCAAAGTTCTTATCCGGCCTTTATTTTCGCAACCATTGTCATAGATATTCAAAGTACAGAAATTTTGTAAATGACACAAATATTTATGTTTTGATATCTCTAAACATTAAATGCAGCTCAGTCAGTGTACTAGTTAGTGAACCTAGTGACCTCGTAGCGACGGGCTCGGGTTAGAATCCCGGAGAAGGTATGGTTGTCCCTGTCCCTTGATAGGAGGCAACGGTGGCCTTATTAGGTGCTTCTGTATTGAGATGACCACCACTTCCGGCCCTTGTAGTGGCGCAAGGTTAATGGCTATTAAATAAAACGCCCGGCCATTAAATATATACACTCATGTCCATAAATTAAGGATAATGCAAAAACAGGCAAAGGAAGAGTTAGAAGCAAAACAAATTTGCTTATTTGTAAAGCTCATTTATTAGACATTTTTCTCCCTGGAGCAAATTACAAAAAAAAACCTATTTACAAAAAACCAATATTACATGGTTGTTATGATTGTTAATACATTGTATGTCTCCCAGACGATGCAATACAGTCCGAACAACGCCTAGGCATGCTGAGTATCAAATTATCGATTTAATCTTGGGGGATATTACACCACTCAAAACGCGATGCTCTCCGAAGTTCCGGTAGACATGTAGGAGAAGGTTGACGGGCTGCAACTCGTCGGCCAAGCATGATCCACACGTGCTCTACTGGATTCAAGTCCGGTGAGAATGCTGGCCAGTCCATACGAGTGATATCCTCCGAGTGAAGGCATTCGCTTACGATGTTTGCACGGTGAGGACGGACGTTGTCATCCATAAACACGAATTGTGCGCCCATGGCGCCCCGAAACAAACGTACATGTTGTTCCAGAATGATGTCCCGATAGATTTGGCTTGTCATGGTTCCAATTTGAACATGCAGGTCAGTTCTGGAACCCAGAATAATTCCACCCCAAACGAGCACTCCTGCACCACCGTAAAGGTGTCGTTCAATGATGTTTTCTTCGTGGTAACGGGTATCTGGAGCTCTCCATATGAACGTCCAACGAGAATTAGACTACAAGCTAAATCTGGATTCGTCGGAAAACATCACACAAGCCCACTGCTGCGGTGTCCACAATGCGTGCTCTCTACTCCACGCTAACCGCGTACGACAGTGAGTTGCAGTAAGTGGAACGCATCTGACAGGTTTACGAGCATATAGAGCAATCTGCCCTAAGCCTTTGTACACGGTCTGCCTTGAGATTATCGTACCAGTGGCTGAAGAAAGCTGACGAGACAGGTCTGAGACTGTGCTCCGCCTGTTTCTTTTGGCAGTAACTGCCAAATACCGGCCCTCATTCGGCGTTGTAACTCTGGGGCGACCTGTGCTGTAACGTCTACTCACATTACCATAATCTTGGAATCGTTGCCAAAGCCTGGAGATGACACTCTGGGCAATTCAAAATTCGTCTGATACTTCCAGTTGGGTACGCCCACATTCCAGACGGCCGATAATTCTACCACGTAAAAAATCATTCAAATGCGTCCTTTGTGTCATAACTATTCGGTTATTGCACTGAAATGCTTATAAAGCGCCTGCGAACAATTTTACTTCTTTGCCTGTATTCCTTATATATCACTCTCTTACACTCTCGTCATTGTGACGTACCATCGGTGTCATCTGGTTACTTTCTGAAATTTGCATATGATTCTTGAAGATGTGTGTAGTGATTTTACAGCTGATATATTTATTTTAGAGTTCGATTTCCGCGTGACTCAGAATTATCCTTAATTTATGGACATGAGTGTATATATCTATTGGGAAAAATTTGTTCTCGTTACAAAAGAACACAAAAAGTTTAACTCTCGTCCGACAAAAGTTAGTTAAGGTACTTGGCATTGAAATTGAAGATCATATTTCAGAGACACTGCAAAAATTCGTCAATGAAGTGTTTTCATTTGTATGTTATTATTAAACAAATTATCAGTTTTAAAAATTTTTTTCTGATATTAAGAGAATAAATGCTAAATATTATAATGCAAATTGTGAAAAACATTGATCAGTGTAATTTTTTTCAAAATGGCGATCTTATTCACAGAATTTTTTAAGTCTTTTTCTGGGAAACATTGGCAGGCTTTAGTTTTTGCACATTAAAAACTCAAATATTATTTGTATTAATTAAAAATTTAAAATATTTGTAGCTTAATAATTTTTGTACAATTTCTGTATTATAAGTAAAGGAACTTTCTGAGAATATTAATAACACATCTTTAGATTACATACATGCTAAATATACAATAATACATATATATTAAAATATATAAATGACTTACTTGAAAATTCATTAATAACAGTCTATAAATTAATATATAAGTGTATAAATTATGCAATAAATATGATATAGATCTGCGAAATAAATGTATAATAATCTGAAATAAATATAATATGTAAATGTACAAACTAAAAAATTTATAAATTACTTACGTGAAAATTCGTTCGACCTACCGAGCCTAACAAAATTACATTTTAAAGGTACAAGTAAATCACGAAAGAATATCATTGACATTTAAGAGGTAAAAGGTAACCTCTATTCATTTTAATTTATTTGTGAACCAACACTTCAATGCAATCTTAAAATTATGTCAAGAGAAGCAAATTTTAAAATTACGTATGTTAGTCAACTTTTGTCTTACGGGTGTAACATGTTTGCAGATATGAATGCTAAAATATTTACGTCATTTAAAATATTTTTTAAAACTGGAAGTATATGTTTGCGATTAACGGATGTGAAAATAAAATCGAAAGAATGACTTCTGTAGACATGTTGTCTCGCATTATTTTGAGCCGTAATTGTTGTGGTTCTGATATAAACAGGTTAAATTTTATTTGATATTAGCAGCTTCGCTGCCAGTCTTCGTCTGGCTTTTAAATGTACCGGAAAAATGGCTGAAGGGAACACCAAACGTTAAATTTAAAAACTATGTAGAATTTTACTCTGCAGAACAACTTCATAAAAAAAAGTTATTACGTACAACAAAATTACAATAAAATAAGCAGTATCCCTTAATACAAATATTAATGATCCTAATAAATAAATTAACCAACTTGCCTTTGCAAAATCTTAAGAACTCAAATGGTATAAAGGAGGTTAAGAATTTTGTTTCCTAAAAAAATCACTCAAAACTTTTCAATATCTTAAAAACAGTGAAATGAGCAATAAATAATATAAAAGAATGCAAAAAACAAAACATTCTGAAAAGCAAAGTATAAATAATGATATTTTATCTTATATTTTCAAGAGGAAAAAATTACAATGAAATAAGCTATATCCCTTAATACAAATATTAATTATCCTAATAAAAAAATTAACCAACTTTCCGTTGAAGAAAAAGAATCATGCAAAACTTTTCAATATCTTACAAACAGTGAAATAAGCAAGAAATAACATGAAAGCAACTCAAAAAACATAAAATTCCGCGCAGAATTTTACTTTGCAGAACAACTTTATTAAAAAAATCAATAAAAATATATTATATATATATATAAGTGAAAATCAAATATGCCAATCTCTTAAAAACAGTGACATAAGAAATACGATGAAAAATTGTTGCCAAACCCATATTTCTAAAAGAATGAAACCATTCAAAATGATGCGATTTCATGAAAAATCTATCAACAACAATAAGACAGGAAAATTGTTGCCAAAATCACATTTTTAAAGATGTCAGATGTGAGAAGTATATTCGGAAGCTTCATTTAAAAAAATTTTTAAAAATACAAAATATTATCATTTTTCCAAAATTCTTTTTGTAAAAGCAGTCGCAAGGATGAAAGTTTAACGTGTCCAAAAATCAAAGAAAAATAAACTGTACATTTTTAAAAATAAACTTTTTTAGAAAATATCCTGTTCAAAAGGTGTTAAGCTCCCTTAAATAAATTCGTATTGAATCGATTTATTGAAACACGAAATTTATTTTAAGTTCGTAAAATAGCTAAGTGGCTACGTTTCATGACGATGTGAAAATGGAGTGTGTAGAGTAAAATCTCGCTTTTCTATAGCCCATTATGTCTCAAAATGACGCGATTTCGTCACAAAACATAAAATTAAAAAATAAAAAAAATTTTAATTCGAATTTCGAAAAAATCGCTTCGAGGTGCACTGGCTCTTGTCTAGATGCACCTGTGTACCAAATTTCGTTTGGTACATAGTCGGGGTCTATTAGCTTACGCGCAGCACGAACGAAAGACACACAGACAGACTCTTTCTTTTATTATACGTAGAGGAGAGATAGTTTCAAATACCTTTTTGCATTGATTATTTAATCTTTAGTGAAAATAATAGATTGCATTTTTTTAAAATTTTTTGAATGAAAATAAGAATTTCTGTGAAATAGTATCATGCTATGACTAACACATTTAAAATATTTTCCTTTCTGTTTCAGAGTGATAGGATCAATGTCTAACTTTCCAGAGTTTGTTCAAGATTTTAACTGCTCATCAGACAGGGCAATGAATCGGAAAAATAAATGTAAAATTTGGTAGAAAGCGAAAGAAACAATTCAAATAAAATTTTATTGTAATATTAATTACGTTATCTTACCATTATTACTGGTGATGGTTTGAATTAAATAATATGAACTTCTCAGCTGATTTACAGCCTGAGCAATCTTACATCTGAAATAAAATATATTTATCTACTCTTGAGAATATTCATTTTTTTAACTATAAATTATTAGCTTTAATAATTTTTATGCAGCAAGGAGAAAACTATCAATATATGAAATTTGATTTTTTTGTTTTCGTTTAATATTATATTTACGAAGCTTCGTAATTTTGAATTTATTTGATTATTATTTTTAAACTTTCATTGCAGGCTAATTTTACTTTAAATCTCTTTATTTCAGCGTTATTTTCTAAAATTTTTACATTCTTTACAAATGAATATATTTTATTATGGTATTAGAGCTTTAGTACACGAAACGCAGAGAACTCCTCTGAATTTTTGAATTAGATCAACAAAGACAAATTTTAATTCAATACTTCCAATGGTAACACATCTAACGAAAAGTCTGCTAACTTTCATATTTTAAGAAAATACTGTTAATAATAGTAACAATAACTCTAAAAGCTTTCATTGTTAAGAAAAGAATATTATTGCTTATGAATCGAGAATTATGTTTACGAAGAAGAACACAGTATTGCAAACAAAAATGAACTACGAATAAGCCGTCACAGAAACTGGTCAATTCTGAGCTGAACTAAATTGCGTAGAAGGTATGTAATTCCTCGCTCTTCTAGATCTCACTACATCTACAGCAAAAATACAGAAGAAATTCGAATCTTTATTATTACTGAATTATCTTAAGTTTCCTCCAAGCTTCAATTCTAGCCAAACTCTTCAGTTTCATTCGTGTTTTGGATCTAATTTATTTGAAGCATTTTGTCACTCGTAAAATATCGTAGAATGTGCTTAAAAAAGCAGTGCTCCGCAACCGGTGTGCCGCGGCACACTGGTGTGCCATGAGTAGGATATAGGTGTGCCGCAATCAAATACATGTATTTGACATTTCGCAATTTTTATCATGTATTTAATACAAAATGACAATTTTTTTCTTTAATAATGTCTATTTTAAATGTTTTTATATATTTCACTGTTGTATGGTTGTGTGTGTGATTGTGTGTCAGCATTTGAATTTTTTCGGCACTTCCTTGATAACTCGAAACTCTTTGGTGTACCACGAAATTCCAGAAAGATTTTTTGTGCGTCGCAGGTGAGGAAAGGTTGCGGAGCACTGCTCTAAAGTTAACGCTAGTTTGGCTAAAATCATCATCCTACGAATAGTAACCACAGGCTTTGACGAAATTTAAGAAAGCATATGCATTGCCAATCATCTTGGTCGAACCTACTGCAAGATAATTTAAATAATTTTAATTATCTGTCGGTATAATTTAATTGCAAATTCTAAGAAATGTTTAAAGTCATGAAATAATATCATTTAAAAATTTGACACTTTTAAAGTGAACTACACTAGCATCGCTCTCTTATTTTTCACAGTTTACAGAAAAGTTTAAAAGAAGTATTTATTGCATTTTAGACCTACCTATATAAGCATGAATTAATGCACTACTCATTAGAAGAAATTGATCGCAATCTGAGGCATTCGAATATTTATTATGTTGCTTATCCTAAAAACAAAAGGAATTAATGAGAACCATACCAAAAAATATAGCTACTTTGTATTTTGCAGTTTCAATCACATGTGCAGATAAATCTCATCTCAACATACTTTTCAGATACAACCTGATTTCAGATAAATGTCAAACAGAAATTATTGTAAAGTTAAATTTGTTAAATTTTATTCTTTTTCCAATATTAATTTCTGAAAAGTTTTTATTTAGTTAAGAATTAATTTTAGATTCGTTGAGTTTGAAACTATTTGCAAATATTTTGGGCTTATTTTTTTTAAATAGTTCAAGGAATTGTGTAATGAACTTTGCTTTTAAGACTAGTTACTACTTATATCTATATTGTTGGATACGTATACACACAGAAAATATGATTGCAGACTTTAAAATGCAAATTTTTTACAATTTTATTTATTTACATAGCATTCCATTCAAGAATTTTCCTTATTTTATTATTTCTACATCAATATCGTCAATTTTTTATTATATAACAAATAACTAATACATATCATTACAGGAATAAAATATTTTGCTGAAGGACTGAATATTTCACTTTGGCTATGAAAAGCAAAGAAATCAAATACAAAAATATATTTTAGTCTTTACGTTTAATGTGAGTAGTATAGAAAGCGAGCTTCAGTTATCATTGAGAAAGAATCTCTGCTGAAAAAGCCTGAAGCAAATCAATAAAAAATGATATATGGATTTGGCCTAAGGGGCTAATGCTCAGAAGATATAAACCGATAGAATAATTATAAACAGTTCACTTGTACAGGAAAGTGTAAGCCAATTCTTCGTCAAAATCCATAGCTAAAACCAGTCGTTTTAAACTGACAGCCCGTGAGCCACATCCGGCCTCTGAAATAATTTTACACACCTCGCGAATATATTTCAGGCATGTATGTATTGTAAATACGGAAACATAGCGATATGAATTGACCTTATATGCGCGACTGCTATTAAAGGAAAAAGATATAGAATGAATATATTGGACTATATGTTTTCAACCGTCTGTTTGTATGTCAAGATGAGATATAAGTAAGATAGAAATAGGATGAGAAAATTTCCTATATCGGTGCAAACAGTATGTTTAGTTCACCAGCCAACAGGTGACGCATGGGCTTTCTGGTACTTGTACTTCTGATATACATTTTCTCTGAGTCAGTTAGATGATTAACTAGCTGAATGCACCGCTGCCCAAAGAATACATTTCTACTCCTACAAGACTTCCTATCAAATAGGAAAGCAATATGCTTCTCTATAAAACTATATCACTGAATATTGTCAGGAGAAAAGTTGCCAGCAAGGCGTATGCTTAAACACAGATTTATGAAACTTAACATCCACTTACATCTCATCTTTTATTTGGCCTCAGTACTATAAAGGAATTGTCTTCGTAGATGACGCAGTTTTCTTTGTAGCAAAAAAAACAAGAGAAAATTAAGAAAAAAATACAAATGAAAATCTCAGCCTATTTAAATTACAGCATAATAAGCTAAAATTAATAATAAACCAAAAAAGCTATAAAGCAATTGTTTTTCCAAAAATATCAGAAAACCTCTAAAAATATCGACATTGTAAAGAAAGTTAAGTTCCTTTGACTAATAATCAATAAACAGCTCAATTAGACAGAACGCCTTAAATTCAGAAGAACAACTTTAAATATGCCTATCAATATACAAAGAATTCAGGGCATCAATTGGTACCTTAATCCACATATTCAGAAAAGACTGCTCAACTCAGTAATAGAAAAAAATAGTGCTATATGGCGTAGAAATATTGCCATAAATTTTGAGCAAAAGAAAAGAAAAGCAACTACAAACAAATACATCCAATTCAATAATCTGTATACCAGCGGTAATACCTCACTTGTACATCAAAAGCACAGACTGAACATGCGAAAGCGTTTTCTTAACACTCAGAAAAAGTTATAATATATAAGAAGTAACCATAGAACACTCAAATTAAGAATTCTCATGTAAGCCTTATTGAAGACATCCAGCACTAGATATAAATTCTAGTCTTGCAATCGAAGACACAACGACCAAAGAATACGCATACATGTATTACAAATGGCTCCAAAACGGAAGCTAGAGTAGGATGTGCTTGTGTTATTCTAAAAGCTCTTCAAAATAAAGCAATTCTTAAAGATTGCTTAAAAAATTAAAATAGTATATTTAAAGCTGAACTATGTGAAATCAAAGTGGCTCCTATATACTACACTAAAGATAATCTAAAAATATCCCACATAGTAAGAAGATTGACTTTTCAGAAAAACCTCATGTTAACTTTTAAATTAAAACATAGCCCATCAGGCATTTATGCTGAGATATAGTGCTAGTGAGATCTGGTGTGTCTAACACACAGGCCATATAGGAACTGGATTAGGATGCAGAACTTGTTTGAAACGATCTAATATACACATTTGATCACGAGGAAATCTGAAGAGAAGAAGTGGAAAAGATTTAATGGATACAGAAATTAAATAATGATTCTATTTTCTTCTTCTAGTGCCAGTTCTAGTCCTAGTTCCAGGTACTTGAATTATTACTATTGTTACTCATTGTAAACATTTTAATGCGCGATCTATGATTGTTGATTCTGATATTAAGATTATTTTTAGTCTTCAATGTTAACAAGACTGCAAGTTTTACATGTTATAGATCAAATACAAATATGCATATAATCAAAAACTTAATTCATAATTTAGTATAAGTATACAAAACTATCCTATGAAAATTCCAAAATTGTATTAAAATAAAACTATTAAATTTTAAAAAGAAAAGCAAAAGTTAAGAAAATCCCGTACTATTTTGGAAAATTTTAAAAATTTATTTAAAGTGAACTTATAAATCATATTAAAATTATAAAATGAATTTTAGATTATTCATATTTTCATACTGCAGACCGACTTCTCAAGGGGTAATAAGGCCACGTAAAAGGGTGGATATATATATCTATATATGTGAAATATGAAATATCTATTTTTCAAATAATAAATAAATAATAGCCTTTTAACTCCCATCTTCATTCTAAACATAGCAGAGCAATAATTTTTCTAACTAAACGAAAATGATCCGTCATCTAATTTGTACTGCGCACTTATCGATGAAATCCGAACCCAAGATCTGGACATTAATCTGTCATGTAATCTGAAATGGAATTCGGTATAAAAAGGTAATTGTATCGCAACTCCCACGTCTTCTTCATTTCTGCTTCTAGATGTTTGTGTCGCCTTGCCAGTAGCCAAGCAGAGTTTACTTTTCCAATTTGCTTCAATTGTTTAAGAAATGTAAGCTGTACAAAATTGGGAGATGCATCGCGCATCCTCAGTGCTGATGTGCAATACCAAGGAATGAAATTATGTATGGGATTTACCGCCAAGTCATCTTTCTAACTACGCATTAAATTCTCTTCACGTTATAATACAGAGTACCAACGCCAATCTGTTGCAACTTTCTTTCATAAAAGTCATCTTATTACAGTAACATCGCGGTCTTATTACATATATA